AAACCCTAAACCCTAAACCAGGATTGGGATATGTCAGAAGATCCTGCCAGGCTTCGAAGATGATGCAGACTGCTGAGGCCGCAGTCCAGGATTTGGACCAGAGAGCCGAATTCGTTGTATGGTTGAGCAAGGGTTTAGGGTTTAGGGTTTGGAGAAGATGTCGGGCATCGCTTTTTTTGGGCATGCAATTCAGATTCCGCTCGTGACCTGTCAATCACCCCCCTGCGCCATATACTGCCCCTGAACTCGAAACCCAAGACCCTCAATCTTGGACCATTATACTGCGAAGCCTTTGCCTGAAATGCTCCAGGAGCCACCGTTGTTTCGCCTGGCTGTGGTTGGACACCATGCAGGAATGTCACTAGCAGCTCGCCTCATCCAGTGGCCTTGAATATTTCGAGGACGGCAGGGCTGAGTTTGGAAGAGAGTTTGTGCTGGCCTGACTAGTTAGAAGATACCTGTAGTCTCCATTGTAGTTCCTTTTCTTGGCTGAACCAATTATATACTAAGGAGTTTATAAGGCATCCCCAAAAAGGAACCACAATGGAGACTATAGGTAGGGTTTTGCAAGCAGATATGGTAGACCTGCTTCTGCAGGAACTGCAGGTGGACAGTACCATTACGTAAACTCTGAACAGGACATGCTTCCCGGTGGCCCGTGTTTCCCGGTGGCCCGTGTTCCGCAACGAAAGGTGTTGATGCGCAGCCACGAGCCCCAAGTGCGATGTGATTTAGAAGCCTAAATAAGTACCGATACTATTTTGGGGGTTCCGTACTATAATTATAAGTAGAACATACTCCCAAACCCTGTTCTAATTATTAAGGCCCCTGTATTACTCAAAGCAACATCGGGAGCTCTGCATAGTTCATGATATTTCCATAACAGAGGCTGTTGGTTTCTTTGCATGAGCTCTCTTCGAACCTCCTTGTAAAGCCTCAGAAACCGACATAAAACTTTCCACACAACCCCAGCAACGCCTATAGATTTTTATAAAACGCAAGACATCCTGATTGAACCTTGCAGAACGGACGGAAATCCAGAGAATCACCTAGAAGGTCAGAGCCAAGTTCCTCCCATCCCGAAAACCTAAACCTCTGAAGCCCTAATCCCTGAACCCCAAAGCCCTACCCATAGTTTCCATTGTAGTTCCTTTTTGGGGATGCCTTATAAACTCCTTAGTATATAATTGTTTAAACCAAGAAAAGGAACTACAATGGAGACTACAGGTGAACCTTGAACCCCTAAATCCTAAACCTCTGAAGCCCGCATCCCTGAACCCCGAAACCCTGAGCCCTAAACCCCGAACCCTAAACCGTAACCCCCAAGCCCTGAACCCTAAACCCCCCCTACCCCTAAACCCCTAAACCCTAAACTCTGACACCAAAACCCCTAAACCCTAAACTCTGAACCCCTAACCCCTGAGCCCCAAGGAGCCGGCGATGGTCATCGCAGCTGCACTCGCTGAGCTGGCCGAGGAGGAGAAGTGGCCCTGCAGACACATGGGGGGGTTTCGGGGTTGCTTAATGTTTCTTGGGGTTTAGGGTTGAGGGGTTTAGGGTTTAGGTTTTAGGGTGGTTTTCGTAGTTCCCCAATACCCAACCTTTAAAGTTTTTGGGTTCTTATAATCTCGTAGTAACCTGAAATTAACCTCCTATTTCCCTGGCTTATTGGGGAAGTCAGTAGAGGGGATGACCCGGTAGTTAAGTAATATAGGGTTTAGGGTTTAGGGTCCTAAATAGTTACCTATCATATTCTGGGTGTTCCTTAAATATAACTATGTAGTATAATATTCCCCGAAACCCTATTCTAACTATTAAGGCCTCTATATGAATATAGCGGCCTTACTGCTTGAAATAAGGTTCCTTCTAAAGGGTTCTATAATGGTTTCTGCAAGGGCTTTCATGTAGGGCCTGAATCGTTAGAATGGGGTTTTGAGGTTTATTGTGCTCACATCATCATACAGGGACTATAAGGGAATACTTTTATGACAAATCAGACCGTACATTGTAGGTTTTTGAGATTTAGGGAGTGTCGGAACATGATGTCACACAGCCCCATGTTTACTTCTGATGTACCAAAAAAAAGCTGGCTGACATGCTTTCATTTTGAGTAGCACGGCGGATGCAATACTATTCTCTGACGAAATGCTCTCCTTGTCAACCTCTACCCAGAGGTGAGCCGCGGTACAACCCCATGGCTTAGGCTTGCAAGCATAGAATGCCTGCATGCAGCCTGCCTCAGCATGGATACATAGGTGGATAGGTAGGTATCTAGATAATTAGGCAGATAGGTGGAGAAGCGGATAAGTAGATAGTGTAGATAGATCGATCGGTAGATAGCAGCTACCATGAGATCGCATTGGGGTTTCCTGACGTGGATTGTTCTGAGTCGTCCGGGCTTCAAACATACGAGCAGTACACGGCTTAATGTTTAGAGTTTCAGGGCCCCTTCAAAGCGCCACGTGGCTGAAACTTCCTTCGGATCCCAGGCTTCAGATCCACTTCGTCGGCCAGTACTACTCCTGTGAGCTTTTGGGACGCTGCGACCAGGACGGGGGGGAAACGTGCTATTGCAGCGGGGCAGTTCTCCAAATTTGGAGCCTCTGCAAAGTCCCCAACCCAGACCACCCAAAGGGGTCTATCCTATAAAGTACCCTTTAGTAGTTAAGGTCCCAAATTAGGGGATCTACTTTTTAGATCCTCCCGGTGGTCTGGGAAATGAAGTCGTCACTGACAAAGGATCCTGAAACCGAGCCGAAGTCACAGAAGCACATGCTAGCACAAACTTGCTTGCCAGTACCGAAGGTTCTGACAGGACATCAAATGTTCGGTAGGGATGGCAGTTTGCGCAGCGACATGGAAGGTTTCGTTCCGCAGCGGTCCCCACAGCATCCATTGGAACCCTTCGTGAGAGAGTCTATCCTAGACCTCGCACCCCTACACCGCAAAAACTCAAAACACCTCAACCCTCCTAAACCCCTACCCAGAGACTCCAATATTCCTTAGTTAAGGAATATTTGTTGAATTATAGTAGGATCCTTAATATGATTTAAGGTCTATTCCTTAATTAAGGGATATTGGAGTCTCTGGGTAACCTGCCTTCTGCTGACTGGCCCTGCTCTTTGCGCAGGACGCCTTGCAGGATGTCTTTCGACAGTGGATGTTTGACGAAAGCGTTCGACAGGCCGGTTCCTTGGGGACCACATGACCCTTATAAGTAGGGGCCCTATACCCTTATACTATGAATCCCAATATAGTGTATGAACCTGAAAAGCTTTTGGGGATCATTTCGTCCTTAAGGTTGAATGCGAATCGACGGTGCGTCGAATGATCAGAGACCTGTCTTACAGGGTCTTTAGGAAGGTTAAAAACCGAAACAGCTTCTGAAACCTAGTTTCCAAGTCTGCTAGCCCTCTGGGTAATATAGGGGCCTAAATAATTACCATGCTCCTATTATAATATTATATATATATATACATCCATCTACCTATCTATCCATCTATCTATCTATCTAACTATCTATCTATCTATCTATCTATCTATCTATCTTTCTATCTATCTATCTATCTATATATTGTATATATATATATATATACAAATTATAACAGCTTGTCGCCAGGGCCTGGCCGCGACGGAGCCCTCGCCAGCTGTGTGGCCAGAACTGCGTCGCGCCGTGGCAGCGGAACCAGCACTCGTAGAGGCGGAGAGCATTCGGATTGAAACCTAAAGTCCTGTAATGTAGGGGTTTAGGGTTTAGGGTTTAGGCGGAGAGCTCTCGGATTGAAACCTAAAGTCCTGTAATGTAAGGGCCTTCATAATTGGAATAGGGCTTTGGGGGTATATCATACCATAAATATAATAAGGAACCCCCAAAGCCCTATTCTAATTGTTAAGGCCCCTTTATCAGAGGTGGTAAAAGTTTGGTTTTATAGTCTTCCCCAGAGTTCTGAGTTTGTACCTTGGAGGCCAGCGCGTGGGTATGCACTGGCATTTGGCCGCTCTGCTGGATGCTGCAGCAGCTGTCACAGCAGCCGCCCGGCGAAACAATCAACACATCCTCCGTGTGCGCAGCGCATGTAACAAATCAGCATGGGCGCATCTCTCCGAAATCTCCCTTGAACCCAAAAGCTTATGCCCCAGACCCTGTTGAAAAGCCAGGTAACCCCAGCATGTAGGGAGATCGCTAGTGCAAGCCTGCCGCACAGAGAGGACCGAGTACTTGGAGGATCATGGGACTTAGTAAGTAAGGTTATAAATACGGTAACTACACTAATAATTAGTTACAACCCCAGCTAAGGTAGTTAAGTTATAACCTATAGTCTCCATTGTAGATTCTTTTTTAGTTTAACCTATTATATATTCAGGAGGTTATAATCCCCTTTATAATCCCCCAAAAGGAACTACAATGGAGACTATAGGTACTTTACATGATCCTCCAAGTTGGGCCTAAACCCTAAACCCTAAACCCTAAACCCGAAACCCTACCTTGCATGATCCCCAAGTTGGGCCTCAATCTGAGGCCCGTGCTTCACTACATGGTGAACTGGCTGGTCGGCGAACACACACCTCCAGAACCCCGGGTTTAGGTTTTAGGGTTTAGGGTTTAGGGGTTCAGGGTTTAGGGTTTAGGGTTTAGGGGTTTAGGGTTTAGGGGTTTCTGAGAACACGCTTGATTGTTTCTTATTTTTCTGGCGGGGGTCTGAATAGTTCGAGTGGAGTCGAGGGTTTTGGGTTGAGGGTTTAGGGCTTAGGGTTTAGGCTTGTGTGGAGTAGTGTAGTTTCGTTATATGTGGCCTACAAGGGACCCAGAGAGTCATTGATTGCTCAGGCCTTTGTAACATCGGGCGCTCTTCTTCTGCCAGGCTATCAGACACCTTCGGTGCATGCTAGAAGTCACAAGGTCGAGAGCTGGTTTGTCTGGTGTGCTTTGTTTGGAGTGTAGGGATGTCGGAGAAGTTGTTAGAAGTATGAACCAGATGTTGGATCCACAGCGCCTATAGTCGCTACGTTCGCTTTGGGATTCGACCGTAATCCTTGGGTGCCAGGACTGCAGATTTGATGTGGCTTGCCCAGTTTGTCCAGTATACAGTGCTTGGATATGGGTAGTTCTCTAAATTAGGGTCCCTTTTCGAATCCCAATATAGTACGGCACCCTCATAAAAAGGACCCTAAAAGGGACACTAATTTAGAGAACTACCCATAAAGCTTTAGAGGCAACCTGGGCTCTGTAAGTCGCGTTAGTCCTCAACTGAATACAATGTCCGTTTATGGCTCTGTCGAAGCTATAAGTTGTTGTTGCCTAAACCTGAAGCCCTAAGCCCTAAGCCAACCCTAACCCCTTAACCCTAAACCCCTAAACCCTAAACACAGGACCCTAAAAGGGGCCTTAATTTAGAGAGCTACCCATAGGTTGTTGTTGAACATGTCCTTCAGAGTATCTCAACCCTAAACCCTAACCCCTTAACCCTAAACCCTAATCCCTTAACCCTAAACCCTAAACCCTGAACCCTCAACCCTAAACCCTGAACCCTCAGAGTATCTCTCGATTCGAGGAGTGGCATGTTTCGCTCGTTGCTGAAGCTGCACGCGCCGGTGGCGCTGCTCGGCCGGGTTGGTTCTCTTTAGGGTTTAGGGTTTTAGGGTTTAGGGTTTAGGGTTTAGGGTTTTAGGGTTGAGGGTTTAGGGTTTAGGGTTTTATGGGGCTTTGTAGGCTTTTGAAAGGGACTTACGGTGTTTGAAAGGGATTCATAGGGTTTTGAAAAAGTTCTATGAAATGCTTCAAGGGCTGTTTTGAGGGTCACTGCGCGCACCCGGTCAGTCTAGGGTTACTAAGAAGTTTTGTTGCAAATATCCGGGCTGCTATATGGGTTCTAGAGGGGTTACTGCAGGGGTTGGATAAGATGTCGGGATTGCGGGATTTACGTAATCGTGCCACTGGTAAGTGAATGTTGCATAGCTGCTGGAACTGGGCCGATGGTCCAAAATCCTGCTGTATCTGGACCCCAAAAGTATGTAGAATGATAGCCTCTTATAGGTTTTGGGCCGTTATTTTACCTACTTTTGGGGATCACTTCAACAGCTCCAAAGGCCTGCGCAGGGTTGTCTTCATGTGGTCTATGTAGTGTCGCGCAAGGGCACGGGAGGCAAAAATAGAGGCCTTGGCCAGGCCTTGTGACTGATCTGCTATCAGTTAACCCTAAACCAGCATGGCACCTAAATGTGAGGATTCTACTTTTGGGGTATGAGGGCGCTTATGTCTCGGTAGTCCAGTGAGGCCCCAAAAAAAAACCTTTAAGCCAAGGAAGCAAGGAAAGCATCCTAAACCCAAAGCCCTAAACCTTAAACTCTTACATGCCCTCTAGCAGTGAAGAATGCATCCTAAACCCGAAATCCTCATGAGCCCGTATACTTGGAGGTTCATGGGTAGTTGTAAGTGGGGTTATAAGTCCCCTAATATGGGTTATAATTATAGTTAGCTTACTTATAACTCCACTTATAACTACCCATGAACCTCCAAGTAGTGGCAAGGAAAGCATCCAGAGCAGCCAGCACCACTTTTGCACGGCTGCCTGGGCGCGGCTTTCCGTCGACATCTCCTACCTGCTGGGCCTCAAGGCATTACCTGCAATAGTACGAAACACTTCCCAGACCACCGGGAGGATCTAAAAAGTAGATCCCCTAATTTGAGACCCTAACTACTAAGGGTACTTTATAGGAACCCCTTAGGGGATCTATTTTTTGGATCCTCCCGGTGGTCTGGGTTACAGGGTGAGGAATACTGTTTAGGGGTTAAGAGGGTTTAGGGTTCAGGGTTAGGAGGGTTCAGGGCTTAGAATACAGGCTAGGAATGTAGGGTTCAGGGTTTAGGAACAGATTCTGCGGACGCTTGGCGGGATGGGGTTTGCACAAGGTCGGGCAGGATTGAAGCATGTTTGCGAGCTATCTCGGATCTTTATAGAGGACTGCAGGACCTACTTGGAGGATCATGGGACTTAGCAAGTAAGGTTAAAATACTTATAACCCAGGTAAGGTACTTACTAAGTCCCATGACTCCAAGTAGTACAAACTTGAGATTGACTGCCAGGTGCCTCACGCTGCCACGGTGGGATGGCACACGGCGCTCCATGCAGGACTTTCACCTCGAGTTGTTCAGGGTTGCTGTCACCGAAGCTGCCGACTAAGACCGGCACACGGACTCCCGCAGACCGGAGGCAGCAACGAAAAGTCGGGCCATGCCCGAGCATTGCGCGTGCGTGTGTGTGTGTGAGAGAGCTACAGAGAGAGAAAAGAGAGAAAGAGAGAGCGGGTATGTATGTATGTATGTATGTATGTATGTATGTATGTATGTATGTATGTATGTCTATATATATATATATATATGGGTGTGTCTGTGTTTGTCGAGTTGCTTGTGTGTGTGTGTTTGTTGTTGTCGATCGCCCTGGGAAACGAGGACCCGGGCTGCGGTGGGCTTGGCGACCTGGGAGTCCAGCTCGGGCGGCGGTGCCGCGGAACGTCCTCACACGTCGGATCCAAGGCCCATTTAATGTAGGGGCCTTAAGAATTAGAACAGGGTTTTGGGGATTCCTTTTCAGGGTTCCTTACAGGGTTCTATAAGGGTTTAGGGTCTAGGGGCCTTAATGATGGGCTCCTTATTTTAACAAGAGTATAATCTACCCCAAACCCTGTTCTAATTATCGAGGCCTCTACATTCGGCGTTGTGTGCCATTGTTCACAGGTGTACAAATTCATGTGTCATCTGCTTCGACTGAAGCGCCTTTGCATGTCAGTTGTGCTGCCTTCTGCTCCTCCTCTTCCTCTCCCATACACCATCATTCCCATTTGAGGGTTTCCGAAAATAGGGGAACCCTAATATGGTACCCTAATAGTAGGATCCTTATTACAAGGACCCCAAAATAAGGTGCCCTTGTTTTTTGGAAACTCCCATTTACTACTTGTGCGGCAGACGGCAGGTTGTCATGGTTTGAATCTTCAAGCCGCTGCATATTTCTGCCCAATCGCAGCTCACAGCAGTTTGTTAACTTGATTCTTGCATACGCTATTTTCAACCATGCCGCGCATCAGCTGGCCACTGCTTGCAACCTTGTGCCATTGTGGAATGGGCCACAGGAAGGCCACCACCATTGCCGCATACCTGGTGGCTGAACCTCCCTCCACCACGGTGACAACCTCGATGCAGCGGAACATTGAGGTGGGACTTTTCCGAAAATTAGGGCACCTTATTTTGGGGTCCTTATAATAGGGATCCTACTATTTAGGGTACTATATTAGGGTCCCCTATTTTCGGAAACCCCCAGGTGGTTGGGGCAGCCGGCTCCTTGGAAACCATTGGTGCCCCGAGCAAGAAAGAAGCCGAGAGCTTGTTTCAAGAGCTGCTGAAGGAAGAAGGTCTACTCGCCGCGAAGGATACTGGGCTTTGGAGTACCATACTTTAATACTTTTTTCAGGGACTTGTTCCTTAAAAGAACCATTATGAAATAAAAGTCTATACTTTTTTCTCCCTGGTTACTTCAAAGCCCAGGATACCTGCACCCCCTGCAGTGCCGGCAGGTCCAGATGCTGTTACTCATGGCAACAAGGTGGGTAGTTCTTTAAATTAGGGTTAGGGTCTTTTTGTCGGTCTCCGAGATTGTGCGGCACCCTTCTAAAACGGACCCTAAAAGGGACCCTAATTTAGAGAACTGCCGTCATAGCACCCTTTTTAACACCCTCTAGAAGCTGTTATAAAAATCCTTGTAAGGGGCCCTAGGAACCTTATAGAAGCCCGTATAGATCCCTTCAAGGGACACCAACTTAGGGAACTACCCAGGTGTTGCCAGAGTGCAGGAGCCGGACTTCTCAAACCAGGAGGAGGGCTTGCAAATCCGATTTCGTTTGGACTATGAGCCTGGCTGAAGAATATAATATGATGTAATATAATATGTAATATACTGAAACATAGTATAGTTTAGTATAGTATAGTATAGCATAGTTCAGTATAGTATAGTATAGTTTAAATAGTATAGTATAGTTTAGTATAGTATAGTTTAGTATAGTTTAGTATAGTATAGTATAGTATAGTTTAGCATAGTATAGTATAGTTTAGTATAGTATAGTATAGTATAGTTTAGTATAGTATAGTTTAGTATAGTATAGTATAGTATAGTATAGTATAGTATAGTATAGTAGTTGCAACCCATGCTTCTTGTTCAGGCCTGGGCGGGCAACTGATTTGGTTGACGTTGAGGGCTCTTTTTGTTCAAGATTCGGGGGGTCATCGCCGTGCCACTTGGGTAGTTCTCTAAAGTAGGGTACCTTTTGGGGTCCTTTCTTTAAGGGTGCCGTACTATATTGGGGATCTAAAAAGGGACCCTAATTTAGAGAACTACCCACTTGCTAAAGCTTCTGCTAGTCTTAGCTTTCTGGCACTGAAACTGCATTGGACGGCAAACCCGGGTCACAAACAGCGGTTGCAGATGTACAGTGGGCAGCTTCCGGCAGCCAAGGAGAAGCCTTTCGACAAAGAGTTGATTCAGGCCCTTCATGATTTGCCCTTCAGCAGTGCGGAGGCAAGAAGAGAGTTTGGCAAGAAGATTGCAGAACAAGGAATTTTCAAGGCATCCCAGCTTCAATCCGTGCGCACGTCGAACCTTCCGCCCGGTGCTTCCCCAATGCTCGCCGCCAAGTTCGCGGAGGCGAACCCAGAGATTCCAATATTCCTTAGTTAAGGAATATTCCTTCAATTATAGTAGGATCCTTAATATGATCTAAGGTGTACTCCTTAAATTATAGTAGGATCCTTAAAAGGATCTAAGGTATATTCCTTAATTAAGGGGTTTTGGAGTCTCTTCCCGGAGGCGAAG